TATAGGTTTAGTATTAAGGTAGAAGATGGGCATTAAGGTAGAAATTGGGCCTCCACTCAAGTACTCCCTCAATGCAAGAACTTTGTTTTATTAAACTGGCATTCCATGATGCTCACCTTCCCGACACAATATCTGAGACAAAATCGATCTATGTGCATATATTTATAAGTTTAATATTAAGGTCGCAGAGGGACATTGGGCCTCCACTCAAGTACTCCCTCAATGCAAGAACTTTGTTTTATTAAACTGGCATTCCATGATGCTCACCTTCCCGACACAATTGCTGAGACAAAGTGGGTGCATAAGCAAATATTGTGAAGAACGCTGATGGAGCCCGGCTATCAAAAGATATAGTGTCTAGTGTCTTAAAGACTTGAAGGTAAACAAGCAGCCTTCTAGTTCAGAAGCAACAAAGCCCACATGGAAGAAGCACACCAGCTTGTGTGATCACGAGGTGTTGAAAGGATCAGGTATCAGGCATCAAAGAACAAAAAATCATACCATTGTGAATGAGGGCGAGTGCAGATTGGGGACCCAAATCCCATCTGTAGGCAACTGGACATCCCCTTACGGAAGGGTTGCGGGGAGGAGATGAGCCAGTCAGAGTGCAGTGTAGCAATGATGAAACATACAACTTTCTTCTAGTTCCCAAATTCTTCTTCCCCACCCACTATCATGATCCCAATTCCACCTTACAAATCTGGCTAGACAAGGGAATGTACACTGGTACATATGGGAACTGGAAACACAGGGAATCCAGGACAGATGATCCCTCCAGGACCAGTTGTGAGAGTGGCGATACCAGGAGGGGAAGAGAGGGTGGGGTAGAGAGGGGGAACCTATTATGAGGATCTACATATAGCCTCCTCCCTGTGGGATGGACAACAGAAAAATGTGTGGAGGGAGACGTCGGACTGTGTAAAATATGACAAAATAATTTCTAAATTATCAAGGTTCATGAGGGAGGGGGGGAAATGAGGAGCTGATGCCAGGGGCTTATGTGGAGAGCAAATATTTTGAGAATGATGAGGGCAATGAATGTACAAATGTGCTTTATGCAATTGATGTATGTATGGATTGTGATAAGTGTTGTATGAGCCCCCAATAAAATAATTTTTAAAAATTTCCTTTGCGCAATTTCTCTGGGCTCTTCCTTGGCTATAGAGTTTCCATTGTCTTAAAACTTCTTCCTAATAAATCCACATGACAACCCTATTTTCTTCAAGGAAATCCTGGAAGATTACCTCTTTCAATTCCCCAAAACAGTTTCCATAAGCTTCTGAGAAGAGCTCTCTACCTGAATTCAACTGGCCCAACAGATCCCCTCGGAAGTCACTGTCATGATTAGACCATTTGAAGGCTCTCTAAAGAGACGAAGACAAATGTGTTACTATGAGAGCTTACCTATAGCCGTTCATCAGCAAGGTAACATGTTTGAACACATTTTGTTTTGACTGGAACTCCAGAAGCAATGCTTTCAATCATGTCAAAAATCTCATAAAATATATGTATTAAATATAAGATAAGGGAATAAAGTCTTGATATATGTTGGAGATTTAACTCTGGAAGTGTAACCCTCTCAATACTGTTCGATATTGTCCAAAGATTGTCTAGTATATACATATTTCAACTTTGAAAACTATATAGCACATAGATAAAGAAAACTCTATAGCATTTAGATAAAGAAAAAAGAAAAGGGGAATGCACAGAAAATTAAGAGCACATAAAATCACAACTTTTGAAGGGCAAAAAGTATAGCTGCTGATGAAAAAGAAAAATCCTATCTTTATTGATGGAGAATGCACTGCATCTAAATAAGTATCATAAACCAAATTTTTACATCAATCATTTCTCCAACATGAGTTAAATGGTAAAGGGGGAAAGTGCAGCAAATAAATAGACTTTGATGAAACAGAATCATATTGTTTAATGCTCACTTATGGAAAATTGATGCATATAACACTGCATTAGACATAATGCTGCTTACAGGAAAACTATGAGTACTTTTAGATGAAAGAAACACATCATCAACATATATGAAGAATAGGAGCCCAATGTGCTGGGCTGTGATCTGCATAGTTGGCAGTTCAAAACCACCAGCAGCTCCATGGAAGAAAGACTGGGCTTTCTACTGCCATAATCAGTTATGGTCTCAGAAACCCACAGTCTCGCTATCAGTCAGCATTGACTTGATGACACTGAATTTGAGTTTTATATGAAGAATTAAAAATTACATATATGTATATGTATATATATGTGTGGCAAGTAATCTCTGTGTATCATTATCTTCTAAAACAAGTGGGAAAAACAGGGCCAACTCCTATTTTAATGAAAAAGACAGGAGTTTTCTTTTTTTGTTAAAAAGTATGCAACATTGCGAGTAAGCTGTGGACATGGGCAAATACAAACATGAACTTATCGAGAAACGAACGGCTCCCTGAAACCCTACTCCAGAGAACAGAACTCATAAGGAAGAACAGGCTGTGCTTCCCTCCTAATCCATGGCCTTGTACTGCCTGACATGTCCTAGGACTCCGCCTGTTACCTGGTGAAGTGATTTACAAGCAATCGGTGCATTGTGAGAGCAATGAGATGATGCCGAAAAGATCACAGTGAACCCCCAGTGAACCCTTGCAGAAAGTAATCATGAAGGCCTGAAGAAAAGGCAAGGCATTCTCCTGAAACTGATCATTGAACAATGCAGTTAGTGGAACAAGAAAATGTCAACCATTTAAAAACCATTCCCAAGGGTGAAATAAAACTAGCCAGGGGTAACCGTGTGCATTGCTCCGAGACAAAATTCTAGGGAGGCATGATGTCAAATCATCTGCTCCCAACATGAGTTCTCCTTCATATCCTTGAAATCATGTGCACTCCTGCATGTGGAAGAAATCAACCCCATCGCTAGTTTTCTAAGATGTTATGATGGTGATAAAGTTAATGAAAAAGAAGAAGGAAGTGGGTAGCAATAAAGACCAGCCAGGCCATCAGAAAACCCCATGGGAATACAAACCACAGACGAGAGTAAGCCACAACAGAGTCTCACCTGGACAGAGGTTGAGCTTGGGTTCGTTGTGAACGTCAACTTTATTGTAGGGCCCACTTGTGGCCCTGGCCCGGGGAGGTGCATTCAATGAGACGGTCCTGGCAGCATCTCTCGGAACTTGGATGTAGGATGTATTTTCAGCATTTCTGTTTTTGTTATTTCGATGATAACTCATTTTGGTTTTGGGATTTGGGGCCTGCCCTGCTGTAAAAGAAAAGAAATAGGTACAAAAGGGACAAAACAAACTAAGTTCGCACTCCTGGAGAACTGTCATATTTTCAGCATTTGGTAGGATGATGGAAGATAATGCAAGCTAAAGTAATTAAATCTAGGTTTACAGGAGTCAGGTTGACATCATCTTTTATAACAGTCGTTTGTTTTCTGGGATAAAATATTATTTGATATTTAACCTCTTTTCAAATTACAATTTCAAAGTATCAAACAAATGGACTTCTTACCTCTCCGCATTCCTGAGTTTGGATAGTTCTTTGGTTCATCATAAATCCATTTCCTTTTTTTCACACCTTTAAAATGAGGTTTCCTCCCTGGCTGGCCATCATTCACTTAGAGAAGATACAAGTTTTTACAGATTTATATGAGATGCTTTCATCTGAAAATTACTGTAGGTGATAATTATATATCTGTGCATTCATATGTCAAGGAAGAGAAAAAAATAGACACAGCACCCTAATACTTTACTTTCTAGAACAAAGGATGGTTTATTTTTAAGTGTCATAAACATCTATCCTGAAGAGAGATTGATGAGAAAACTTTCAATAAGCATTATTACTCAGAAAAACAAAATAAAAACTTCTCTTCCAAAAGAAGGTGCTAATTCTTTTCAAAGAACTTAAAATTACATTCCAAATATAATTCTCTTTGTATAATTATTAAGTCATTTTAGAATTGTTATTTTGAATATAAATCTTTTGTATTTTTTTAAACCAAAACTACTACTTAAGAAGTTAAATTTTTGTAAAATATTTGTAGGAAATTTACTATTCTTTAATATCTCAGAAGTTGAGTGGACAGATAGCTTGGTCAAATAAGACTTAAAAATTAAGCATTCAGATAAATACATATTCACTTCTCATTTTCATATTTTTATTATATTAAAGAGATTTTTGTTATGCACCCTTAATTCTCCAGGAATTCCTTGAAGTAATTTGGTCAAGAGAGGCATCCTCTGTTTTCCTCTGTGCTGGACTCCTGATCATTCACAAATGACTACTGCATAGAAACAGAGGCACAGCAATTGCACAGGGCACATTCTATTAGCTCTCCAGCCAAATAGCCTTGAGTAGATTCTGACCCATCACAACCCTGTAGGGCAGGGTAGAACTATTGTCATAGGGGTTGTGAAGCTACAATCTTTACATAAACTGATTGCCACATCTTTTCCGTGCTGAAGGTTTAACTCCTACAACTACTCAAGCTCCTTTAGCTCTCTAAAATAAATCTAGCTAGTAAATCTCTCTTTGTCCTAGTTCTTCAGCTTAACTTAAGCTTTCTCAACAAAACTTTGGTTATTTCCTCTTCAACCAACAATTCCCACCCTCCACTCCCAAGCTCTAAGTCCTAAGATTTGGAAACTATGCTTAAACAATACCCCTTAGCTGAGCTTCTGGGGAGCACACTACCATGGTTCCCCCTTCAGTGGTTAGCAAGGACACAACACTATTATCCGACGTCGACGCATGAAATGAAAGAAAGAGGTACGGAAGGGAGGAAACAGAGAGGAGGATTCATGAGTCTTTATTATCTTAAATTATCTCAAGGAAAAGCCAAATCAAGATAGAGAGTCCAAAACATAAACAAGAGACGTCAATGTAGTTCACTATGGGGAAGATTTAAAACACTATACCAATGAATCTTCCCAGTAGGAAGTGGATTGATTATTCACTTTAGTGGTTGAGCAAGTGGGAAAGCACATAATTTACTGGGATCTACCTCACAAATTCATTGTTAGAGTTAGTAGAGGATTAGTGTGTCTTTAATTGTTAGTCCTGAATAATTTCCAAACCATTTTTCTTTTATTAAAAAAATCTGTATATCAAATAAGAAAAACAAATCCATGAAAAGACAAATATAACTAAGGCCAAAAAGTGGTAACATTAATGTCTCACTTGAAGAGTGGTCCTCAGTGCACTTCATACTGATATTCTCAGTAGCATTTAATACATGCATTGTAGGTGCTAGTCGGCTGGTTAGGCAACGCTTTGGATGAGCACTGTCCTTATAATCTTTTGAAACAAATTAAGAAAATAAAATGTCAACATTAGTAAAGGAGTTTTTCTGTTGGTATTTCACTTTGCAAACATGGTAGGATGGGAACACCTGTTTCTAAATATACATATATTTGTATATCTTTATCTACTTATCTCTGAACACATCTTAAAATTCTCTAGTGGCTGCAATAGTCCTCCAAAATTGTCACTTGCAGGGTGTTAAAATCAGTAGTCATTATATTTGTTGTGTAAATGACAGAATTATAACAATATTTTTAATATCATCACACAGAAGAATGCAAGGATCACCAGTTTCGCATCAGGAGAGCCCTGCTGGCGTACTGGATACATGGTGGGCCGTGATCTGCAACATCAGCAGTTTGAAATCACCAGCTGATTCCCAGGAGAAAGACGAGATTTTCTACCCCTGCTAACAGGGACCATCCGGGAAACTCACAAGGGCAGTTCTGCCCAGGCCCAGAGAGTCGCTATGAGTCAGTATTGACTCGCTTGCCAGTGATCTCGTCTTTAGTTTCACATCAAATGGGCCAGATGTGCGATTAGGGGTTCAGAGAATATTCTACTATGCTATGTTCCGCTTGTGCTTGAGAGCAGGACTCTCCATAGAGCTTCCTGCAGTGATGGAATATTCTAAGCCTGCACTGTCCAATATGATAGCCATTAGTCCTATGTGGCTGTTGCATTTGAAATGTGATTTTTGCAACTTAGGAACGAATGTTTTCATTTTATTTCTTTTCAATTAACCTAAGTTTAAGTATGTGGCTGGCGATTATTGGTTAGTACATGGATGGCAAATATGCACACCCCCTAATTATAGGAAAGTTGTCCTTTCAGTCTAGAGTGGAGGGGTACCATGTGGGGGATTCTAAACACAGCAAAGGCATATAAAACTAAAAAGAGCATATTTCATATCGCTTAATGATTCAGACTATATAAAAACTAAACAAAACCCACGACCATCTAATCAATGACACTCTAACAATCCTACATAGAATGTGCCAAACTGAAATCCTGACCAGAGTGAATGCACAGACAGCCCCATCTTTCTCCCATTGAGGGTGGGTGGGGAGGACATGGGGGAAGGTAGTGGGTTTGAATCTCTGGAGCTGAAGCTAGCAGCCTGGGCTTAAGCCAAAGCACCACCTGTGCTATTAAATCAATTTTGACTCGGAGCAACTCTCTAGGATGGAGTACAGCTGTTTCTTTGGGTTTCGGAGACAAGACTGAAAATCTTCAATGGAGTAGACAACCTCATATGTCCCAGCGAAACAGCTGGTGGGTTTAAACTGAAAGGTAGGCCTTGTCATTCGCAGCCCAATGTTAATCCCTCAACACTACAGAGCTCCTTAGCTCGCGATTATTATGAAAGAAGGAAATCTTTGTGTAAAGATGAATGTTTTGAGCAGTGTTTGTAAACAAAGTTTTTTCTAATAAAATTCCATTGGACTGAGCTATTTGATTTGAAAACACAACTAAAACTAAATGACTCGGGTTTATGATTTAGAACAACCATTAACTATTGAGCTAAAAAGATTTCTCTGGACTATGTAGTCCAACAAGTGATTTTTCACATAAAGAAAAGACTGAGAAAAGTTCAGAACTCAAACCATTAGAAGTCAAGCCAGGATTAAAACTTGCAGGCTCTTGCCTCCTAATGAGTACATATTTTGATTTGTTACCTTGCAGCTTACAGTCATCTATCCAACAACGAAGCTTTCTCCATTCAAATTACAAGTGAATAAAAAGTATAGGATGATTCATTACCTTTAGCATTTGAATATTTCGGCATGGTGATTTCTTTTTCTTGAGTTACAGCTTCATTTTCATCTACTCCCAGAAATATAATCCTCTGGGGGGCATAACAGTCACCTCCTGCAAGGCAGAACTGACCGTCAGTGGCTACAGTGGAAAAAGGGGCACAGAACCATCTTTCAATTGAGGACTATCCTCTAAAGAACATCCCTTTTGTCCACATTTGTTTGAATAGCTCCCAGCGTCGATGTGCTCATCTTGTGTCCGTTACTCTCCTCACGGCCAGCGAGTCAGTTTCAACTCCTAGGGATGCTACTGAAAACACAGACAACTCCCTGTGGACTCTCAGCAACCCTCGAGCTGCCCTGTGAGTTTCTGAGGTCGTGCTGACCTACGGCTCTCAGTCCAACAAGTGTCCCTGCCACCACCAGGGCTCCTCGCAGCAGCCTTGTAAGGCGGAGTAAAACTGCCCCTTGGGGTTTCCATCTTTACCGGAGTAAACAGCCTCATCCGTTTCCCATGGAGCAGCTGGTAGGTTCAAACTGCTGACCTGGGTTAGCAGCACAATGCAAAACCCACGACGCTACCAGAACTCCGCTAGGGTTAGATTTGTTCACATGAATACAAGTGTACGTCGGCGAACGAGAACAACAGACGTTTAGATACAAACAATGACAGGTAGGTACAAATGTAGGTAGTCAACAAAAATTAATTTTCCTTTAACTTATAATAGTTTTTATCTTCATCCTCTAAGGTCACTCAGTGTAAACATAATTTATTTCCACATGTCATATTCAGGTATATGAAATCAGGGTTTTTTGGTAACTCTTAAAATCTCCAGTTTTCCAGTATGAATATCCAGGGATGCTTTCAATGTCACTTGTACATAATTTACATTTTCTTTACTATGCAAGTTACAGTTTTTTAGCATAAAGTATGTGTTTCTAATAACCATCTTAAAAATGGCACCTAAAAAGCCCAGAATAGTCAACACAATGCTGAAGCAGAACAGAGTTGAAAGACTAACATTAGCCAAATTCAATACATAATATAAAGCATAAAAAACCAACTGATCTTTAATAGAGAAGTAAACACAATTCACGGGGGAAAGGACAGTCCTGTCAACAAACAGTGCTCGAGCTACTGGATCACATGGAAAAATCGTCTAGACACAGACCTCACACCTTCTACAGAAATACACTTGAAATGGACCATCGGCCTATTTGTAAGATGCACAATTAACAAAGAATAAAACTTGCATGACCTTGATTTTGGCAATGACTTTTTAGACATAACATTGAAAACATCGTACATAAAAGGAAAAAAACCTTTTGCACAAATAGTGCTTGAGTAAAAGAATAAAAATAGAACAAGGTGTACAATTTTCACTCACACAAAGACGAGAAATGCAAACTGAACACAGAACCTAAGGTAAGAGAGATGAGAGTAGGGGCACTGGACTTGGAGAAAAACAACCTCCTGCAAGTGCCGTGTAAGTAGATATATGGGAAGACGCCCTAAAAATTCAACAAGGTATACATTTTTGTTTTGCATAATCATGGAGGATAAATCTTAATAAAATACCAAGAAAATAGTAAGGCCATGAAGAATGTCTCAAGAGCTTTTCCTCAAATTTAATATTAGCTCAATAATTATAATTTAACTTTTTTGAAGATACTTCATCAATGCTGTGGTCTAAATATGTTTCCATTTCTCTTGTACACATACATGAACAAAGGGTCTATGCTGTCTACGCTGGAGAATTAACAAGCCCGACTCTGCCATACAGAGTACCATAGATTGTGGAAAATGCTCACCTTCTCTGAGGGTGGATGCTTACTCATCGTATCGGTCTAATAATGTTAGTAGACAGACTAACAAATCATATGCTCCTATTTCCTAAATGCCTTCATTTTTTTGAAATATATTAGTATTGTTACAAGAAGGAAATATTATTCAAGAGAGGAAAGTACCAACTTAACAGTTATAGAATATAACCTCTTATTAATTAAAAAGACAAAATGATATATTAATATTTCACTGAAATATAAAATTATCACTGTCCATGGCCTGTGGAGCCCAGTTTTGAGACTACTTGGTTATATAGACAGTGCAAACTCCATCGGGAGAACCGCCAGTGTTTTTTTATTTATAGCTAAAGCTTATTGCTTGAATGAAACCAAACAATGACAGCTAGCCCAAAATATCTGTGAAGGACATAAGAGAAAGTAAATGGAAGAACAAAATTGCCTTAGTATCAAAAAAAGGAAAGAAAAAGAAGAGAATGGCTGGTAAAGGCTAAAACAGGGAGCACAAAAGGCATTGCTAATATACCTGAGGCATATTGAAATACTTTTGCAACTTCCTCCTCCCTCCCTTCATACATTCTCCCTAAGCACGTGCTTTGCTTTTTCAAAAAGCTATCTCATTAAACACGCATACACACACACACACACACACACACAGGGTTTAAAATCTTCTGTCAAAAACTGGATTTTCAGTTAGGTAGAAATTTAAAAAAAAAACAACACCAAAAACACACTACATAACACAATAAGGGTGCTATGGCTTGGCACACATAGTATAATATACTGAAAATAATATATTGAAATTAATACTTGATGTAGACATAGTCAAATAAATGAAGAATTATTAAGTCACTTATCTATTTACATTGGTGTGATAGTGGATTATAGCACATACTCAATACTTGCATTTATATGCTGTATTTGTGTACACACACACACCAGAAGATTTCTCATGAAATACATGAGAATGGAATGATTTGCACACTCAGCACAAATTCCCACAAAGCAGTTTTTGAAACAATGATATGACTTGGCAACACATACATTGACTCTCTAGATCATGCATAAATAATAGAAAACATGAAAATGTTAAACAAAATTAATTATGGGAGAGAAAATTCAGATTCATAATTGACCAGTAATGTGTTAACCTACCTCCATTTTCAAAAGCAGCAATGTCAGCCCTTGGTTTCCCATCCAAAGATGATTTTATTTCACCTTGCCGTTCAATTAGGCTAAATTTTGTTGGCACTGTAAGACCATCCCCTAGACATGAAAAAAATTCAGTTAGCTCAGGGACCATTAGGTGTTCATATAAGTTTATAATGACTGCACTACTAGAATAAAAGGTCAAAAAGTTTATGCAGATATGGTTTGCACAATGATCTCATGGACAGCAAGTTTATGTCCTATATCCACATATATGAATTTTAAGTGGGTTTTATAATTAAGTCAGTAAAGCAGCAAGCAAGTTTCTTCTGGTATCTAGGTAATTTTTCAAATGGCAATTAAGATAATTTCAGAGATCTCTAATTACTGTGTGTATAATATATTTATCATAAATTTTATGAATTATTACATAAAATTTATATAATGAACCTGGTAACTTGCCTTTACATGTTTGTATCTATGATCATTTTCAGTGAGACGTATTAGAGTTGCCTTTTGACTATTAAATTTTAATGATATTGTGATAATTAAATTATCCTATTTTCTTTATACCTTTGATATGATTTTCTTTAAACTACTAAAAGTATAAATAAAAGAGACATGACAACAAAGGCAGTATCTGGGTCTTTCATAAGAAAAAATAAATATGAACTCATTTGACTAAAAAGGAAATGAATGAGACACTTGTTTTTCTGGTTTTAAAACCACTTACTTGTATATTTCTATTATAGCAGCACTAGATAGCTAGGAAGGTAGACAGATACCATGGAATGATTTGATATATGTATTAATCCCAATCAATGATAAAAGTTTTAGTAAAAAAATGGAAACAGAAGCTAATCGAATTTGTTCAAACTTTTTGGAGCCCAAACTTAAATGAAAAATATTATCAGTGAAGTAGGAAAAAAGTTAAATATCTCACAATGTAAAAGCTTTAAAATCCTAACAGAAATAATTACATATGTATTTATCTTTATATATGGTTATATACATATATGGCTATATATTTGTCTTTATATTATCTTTATACATAATTGTCTTATAATATATAGTCATAGTTATTGTCTTTATAATCTTCCATTTTCCATATGTATTGCTAACTTGGGTTTCTTGTGGTGTGTGTATGTGTGGGTGTGGGTGTAATGTTCCTTATCTGAATAGTACAGATCTATAAGGAACTTTGGTGGCAGCTTTTAAGCACTCAACTACTAGCAGAAATGTTGCCAGTTATCAGCTTCAGAATAGAAAAGACCTCACGACTTCCTCCCGCAAAGAATGACAGATCCTACGGGACAGTTCTACTTTGTCATTTAGAGCTGCTGTAAGGTAGAATCTACTCAGTGGTGCCTACAATCTACAACATGGGCCTGCCATCTGACCTTCTCTGGATAGTTCCCCCATATTAACTAAGATTTGGTGACTATCCTATCCTCTGATGGTATATTACTGCCACCTAGTGCTATTTGTATCAATGGTTGGTCATATAAGGACATACAAGACTGGAGGTTCAGACACTCTTTGTCCTGTCCTGTACTCCTTTAGCTCCTGGGTAATTATACCAACCATCTTTCCTTCTGTTTTTATACATGAAAAAGTGGGATTAAAATACTTGCCACCAAAATTTATTTTAATTCCATCTTTTGCTGTCGTTTTTTGAGCTATGTAGACAGACAGACAGACAGAGACTGAATAAGAATGCACTTGGACTGGATGACAGTGAGTAGATAGATAGATAGATAGATAGAGATAGATAGATAGATAGATCCACTGCCATCGAGTCCGTTCTGACTCAGTAACCATAGATATATATATAGAGAGATACATATAAAAGTATCAAAACAAAAATCACTCACTGCCACTGAGTCAATTCTCACTCACAGTGACTCATCTTGGCTGGGAGCTTGCGTAAAGCAGAGCGGCCCACGTGGGTTTCTGAGATTGTAACTCTTTACAAAGTATATATATATATTTGCCAAATTCATGGCCATCAAGTTGATTCTGACTAATAGTGACCTCCTAACCCTGCCACAGAAGAACCCCAAACATTGTGGTGAGCAGTTCAGTGTCTAACTCACAGCATTACCAGATGTTGACACAAACCACACACACGTACACATGTATGTATTCAAACAAAAATTCGTGGAAAAGTACATTCTTTTTAATCCCTTTTCCATGAACTTTTTGAAGCCCTTCATATATGAGCGGTGTCTTTGAATTTCCATGAGTTCCTGACATTATGTCTAGAAAGCTGCTCTTCGTAATGTGCTGTCAAGGACAAACTGTGGCCGACAACAATGTGATTCGCCTGAGGGTCAGGCCCACGCGGGGCAGGTCCTTGGAATGATGTACCAGTGCCATCTCTGTGCCTAGGAAACCTATTCCATGAACAAATATGCCCTGATTCTGCCACGAGTCTCATTCTGTGGTTTATGTTTTATCCCACTGGGGCCAAGGTACCTTTTCTACACATTAAAAAAAAAAAAAACATAACCTTTTTTCACAAGACAACTTATTTGCATAGACAATAGCAAATGATTTGCAGAGGGTCATATATGCTGTATAGTGTTACTATGTGTATACGAAGCCTATTCATGAGCAGCTCCTCTGAGAAAGCATAATGACATTAATAGCAACCTTCCTAGTAAATGTAGGCCATTTGATAAAAGGATTTCCTTCTTGCTCTCAATTCTGATGTATTATTTATCATTTAACTCTATATGTGTATGTCCAAAATAATCCACCCTCGGTCACACCACTTAACACTCACATATGGTGTGCAAGTGCTGCTTCGGGAATTCTTACCTTCTTGTAATTCACTGCCGTTTTCCGCAGGCTTGGCAGACTCTTTTTCCACCGGAGGAGCTACGCTCTTTGCCGATGAAATGTCCGGAGTAGGAAATCTGTAGTATTCACCTAATGTCCCCATGAGAACATGAACGGTTAGTAGATATGTGTCACACCAGGAACCCAAAAGCTCACAGTTGCTTGGTTTCTTACCAGATTTATAACACATCTCCTTTATTGCTCTTTTTTCTTCTATTTCTTCAGGTGTCTTTGTCCATAAAACAGAAGCATCTGTCGGATACATTTGTTTTAAATTAAAGTGTCCCATAGCCAAATTATCTGAAACTTCATAGATCAGAAAGAAAAATCCCAAGCATTGTTCTCGTGGGTGAATGACTAGTTCTTTCACTTTTAAAATGAAGAATTTTACACACTAGTAAATTCTAAAATTTTAAGTGCTCAATATGAGAAAAGAGCAGGAGAATTTTTCAGATGATGATATAAGCTCCTACGTGATGTCCCTTGAAAAGAGAAACTGAAAGTATACATTCCTGTAAAGACATGTTGAAATCCATGACTTTTCGATGAGGATATAGGCATGAGCTGCTCTAAGTAAATTTGTTTCGTAAGTGAGTAGGCAGGTGAGACATGGAGATGCAGTAGAAGAAAAGCAGCTATAAGCCCCAAACTGACCACAGAGCCCTTGGATTGATTCCAACTCATGGGGACCGTGGAGGAAAGAGTTAAACTTCCCTGGGAGCAGCAGTTCTCAACCTGTGGGTCGCGACCCCTTTGGGGGTCCAACAGCCCTTTCACAGGGGCCGCCCAATTCATAACAGTAGCAAAATTACAGTGATGAGGTAGCAATGAAAATAATTGTATGGCTGGGGGGTCACCACAACATGAGGAACTGTATGAAAGGGTCGTGGCATCAGGAAGGTTGAGAACCACTGCTCTAGAGTGTCCAAAGCGGTAACTCTATATGGGAGTCCTGGTGGTATGGTCAGATAAGCACTTGATTACTAATCATAAGGTTGGAGGTTAAGCCCACGAGACAGACGCTCCACAGGAGGAAAAGTAGGTATTCAGCTCCAGTAAAGATCTACAAAAACCTCAGAAACCCTAGAATGCATCGCTCTGAGTAAGAACCCCATCCCTGACAATGGGTTTGGATTTGGGGTTTTAATTCTTCATGTAAGCAGATTGCCACAGCTTTTTCTGCTCTGCAGGGGGTCTGACAAGTAAGCATCTCCCACCTTTTGGTTAATGCTGAGTGCTTTTTTACTGAACATACAGGTGGCCTGTTGTCCATAGACGGACATATTCCAAGGGTAAGGGGTTTTTTTTTGCATGTTTTACTTATGTGTTCTCCACTGTGCTGTGATGTTGTAGAAGGAAACAAATGGACTAAAATACAAAAAACCTGGGCTGTAATCCTGTTCCTTTCTTGTGCAGTTTGCATGCAATAGTGCAGATGGCATGCTTTATAAGCTGCAAAGTACTGTATAGAATTTCATAAGTGCAAGGATTAAATGAGAGAGATATATACAAATGTGCTCTAGATATTTTCATGTGTTCCATGTAAATAAGAGCTTATCAGTATCTCCACAAGAACATGCACATATTTAAACAGAAAAGTAAATATCTTTTAGTTAGTATATAACAAGAAACCTTCAAATTCAGATGGTAATTAGCATATGTAGATCTAGAACAAACTAGAATATAATAAACTTAATCGACAAAAGAATAGATATTTTCTCATATAAATCAGATTTACATAATATATTATAAACCGCTAAAAGTTAAATAAATTTTACAGGAAGTACTGTGAGGATGTTGAATGTACATTAGATATCAAAGAAGTTTACTAACCATCTTGTTCATCTTCTTCTTCTTCCTCCTCCTCTTCCTCAAAGTTCATTTTTAAAATCAAAGGATGCTGAATGGGTCGTGCTATATTTTCCTGAGGTTTCAAAGGTTCCTGACTCTGGGACTTGGGTGGAACTCCTTCTTGAGGTTCTTTCTGTACTGTGACATCTAAAGGTAAAATGTAGAAGTTTAATGTTCTCCACATGGATGTTATGTTGAAGATACTCAAGGTGCAACCATTACCCTAATGAACTGCTTTTTGTGTAAAGGCTCCTTTCTTCTGAAAAGATTATTAAACCAGTTTACAAAAAGTACAAGACCTCGCTTTTAAGGCATAGAAAATATGCTATAGAATTCATAGACTTCAAACAACAAGTATTAGCTTGACTTTTTAAAGCACAGTTTTGGTACAAATGCAAACCAATCACAAATAGTACTGTATTCTGGAATATAAAATGAAATTTAATAATCTCCTGGCAACAAAGTAGACCACCTCAATAAGGCATTGCTTATGTTTACTGAGAGTAGGGCCATGCCCACAGGGTTTTCTAGCCAATAATCTTTAAAGGTTGAGCCGTGGTGGCACTGGGGGAAAGCCTCGGACTGCTAGTTGCAAGGTCTGCGTTTCAAACCCAGCAGGCACTCTGTGAGAGAAAGATGGGTCTATTTATTCCCCAAAAGATGTACAGCTTCAGTCACTAAGAGTCAGAATCAACTCAGTGGCAATGGGTTTGTTTTTTCGGTATTGATCATCTTTAAGGAAGTAGATTGCCAGCTCCATCTCCCTCAGAGTTGCCCAGCACATAATCATTGCACCAAGAGGATCCTATTAATTGTTGACTAGTTTCCTGTGACAGTTGGACCATGAAAAAGGAAGATGTATTTGAATTATGCATTGGCTAAGAATATTAACAGTACCGTGGTATGCCAGAAGAACAAACAAATCTGTCTTGGAAGAAGTACAGCCAGCATGCTCCTTAGAAGCGAAGATGGCAAGACTCCGTCTCACATACTTTGGACATGTTATCAGGAGAGACCAGTCCCTGGAAAAGGACATCATGCTTGGTAAAGTCGAAGGGCTGCAAAAAAGAGGACAACCCTCGACGAGATGGTTTGACAGAGTGACGGCAACAGTGGACCCAAATATGACAACGATTGTGAGGGGGGCACAGGACTGAGCAGTGTTTCATTCTGTTGTGCACAGGGTCACGACGAGTCAATACCAACTCGAGGGCATGTAACACAATTCCTCTTCCAATGTTTGCATCAGTTCCCCGGGATATAAAACCAAAAGGCCAAACCTTCTGCCATCCAGTTAATTCTAACTCGGAGTGACCCTGTAGGACAGAATTTCCCCTTTGGGTTTCTGAAACTGTAAATCTTTATAGGGGCTGAAATCTTCATCTTTCTCCTGTGGTACAGCTGGTGGGTTCAGCTGGTGGGTTCGAACTGCTAACCTTGTGGTTAGCAGCACAACACTTAATCCGCTATGTCATCAGGATTACTTCTGGAGGCATAAAGTGGACCTTGAATCCCCTTGCCATAGAGTGAATTTCAGCTCTCGATGCCTTTATTGGACGGGGTAGAACTCTCCCCTGGGGCTGTCAAGCTGCAAATCTTTACAGAAACAGACTGCCTTATTTATTTTTTTGTTTGCTTGTTTGTTTGTTTATTCTTTTGAGAACAACTAGTGGGCTCAAAGATGGCTTTTCAGTTAGCAGTCCAGAGCTTAACCCACTGTATTACGGGGGCTCCTAATTGCACCATCAAGTCGATCTGACACCTAGAGACGTTATAGGCAGACTAGATCTCTCCCTTTGCCTCTCCAAGGCTATCGATCTTTGCATTTTAAACAATTTTCTTGGAATGTAAGCCACTTATCATAAAATTCAAAAGTTCAATCATATCAAGAAGAGTTGTACAATCATAACCACAATCAATCAATTTTAGAACATTTTCTTCATTCTTGTACTCATTGCTATTAGCTCCCCATCAGCCTCACTCACCCTTCTCCCCCACCGCCATCTCCCCTGCCTTAATTGCAAGAAACCATTAAACCCATCATTGTCTCTATAGATTTACCTATCCTGGATTTCACATACAGAAAAACACACAAAAACAACCACAAAGTAAAAATGGAGGAAACCTCAATCAAAAAGAGAGTAGAAGATGACCTCTTCACCGAAGCAGTCTATTCAAAGTGCAAATGTTTGTCCCTATCAGAGCTCATTTTATCTGCTATGAGGGTTAGGAAACCTATTACTACAAAATCATAGAAATCTTTATTAAACAAAAATATCAAAATGTGAAACTATCATATCGCAACATATCCTTCAACTAGGTCTACCCACTTCTGAAGGTGTTATTTGCATCTCTGTAAGCATTCCCCAAACAAGATTGTACCATTCCATTTATATCACATCCAAATAGCAGTCTAGGCATCTTTGTGGAATTCAAACTGTGATCCTTTTAAATGTTTTCTAATTTTGGAAACCACAAAAGGGTCTGAATGAGAAAACCAGTGTTGTCAGATAGATAAGGTTAGATTTCCCAATGAAATTCTTCTCAGACAGATGTTATTACCCATGAAGAATGATGAAAGAATTGTCCTGATGGGAAAAAATAAATATTCAGAGCAATTTTCATGGCCTTATTCCCAGCAACAGGATAGTTGATTTTCTTAAAACATATTTATAATAAACCTTTATAATTATTCTGTGTCCCTTGAGAATATATATCAAGATCACCCCAACAGAATCCTAGTAAACAGTTGCCATAACCTTTGAGCCGACCTCTTTGCCTTGAATTCATCTTTGAGGTCTTCTCAACCTACCTCAAAATACTTCATCTGTCTAAAAGCTCGTGTGTTCTGTGGGGTAGCATTTCTGCAACCATTGTTTCAAAGCTTCAGTGGCTTCAGAAAATATCCACGTTGTTGAAAACTTGTTATTAGCCTAAACTCAAATGTTATTTTCCCATGGCACAGAGAGTAACCCCCATTTTTGGAAGGCATTCTAACAAGACTCAGATAAGTGTTATCACTGAGAGAGTTCGTCTGCAGTCATACCTTCATCGCACTGCCACATTTAAACATGCTTTACATGGATTAAACCTGTACATTTATGAACTGTACCGTGTAGCAATACTTACCCTCTTATTCGCATGGTTCTCCTTGGAAAGCATCTAGCTTGCCCATGGTTTAGCTTGCTGCCCTCATGAACCACCCCAGCCTCTTAAATACTTACCCACTAAAATCTCCATTGGTCCCTAAGTGCCAGTAAGATTAAACTTATGCACATTCATTTCCAAATAAGGCCAATTCCTTTGGGAAAGTTTCCAGAGTTATTCTGTTCTCATGCCCTGCTGTTCACCCTGGCCAAAACCAGGACGACTGCTCCATAGTTGGACAGTGGGGTAGTTACGCATTTTTTCTTAGTCACACTCCTGTTCCGCAGACCAATAATTGGGCAATGGTGGTATCCTCTCATCTTTTGGACAAAGAGCCTCCACTCCATGTACAAGCTGGGATAGGAACAATCAGAGTGTTCTCAGTCTACGATACATGGAACCAAGCTTCTGCCTGTTAAATGATGCTGAATGGGAGAAGAAAGCCCCAGGTCTGTCAAGCACCCTCGCAATAAGAGGATAAAAAATGCTGACAGTCTACTTCTACCAAGGAAATGCCATAGTCCTCCACTGAGTGGCCAGGTAAGAGGAGCCTAGCGCTATCTGTACTGAAGTAGAGTGTGTGTAATACAGAGTTGATGTGAAGAGTGGGGTGTGGCTCGTATGCCACATGCTCTTAAACACTGAGTAGATGTCTTGAATAAATGTTCCTTCCTCTGCTCTATGCCCTTGGGACACTTTCCAGAGACTTCAAATCGTTTTTTGTTTTTATAATTTGCAATAGCACTTGTCTGGATGTTGCTGTGATTCTGAACAACAACAACAACAACAAAACTGCTAAGGAAAACTGGAAATTGTCAAAAATAAAAGAGAATGCTTGAAGATTGATATCCTAGGCACCAGGGAGATGAAATAGACTGATATTAATCATTTTTAATTGAACAATCAGATGGTCTATTGTGCAATAAGAAGCTGAAGAGAAATCGCATAACAATCTTTGATCATCATTCTATTTCATTTTTGACAACCTAGTTTTCCTCTATTCATATTTCATTCATTGCATGTTCTGGTTACTAATGTACTTGGCATCTGTTTATTCTCATTTTCAGTTGTGCCATATTAGTAACTCAAGGTTCCAAAACTGTATTCTCTCCATGTCCTTAAGTTTATTCTCCTGTGAGGAGCTCTTCTTCATGCCCATTTGGAGTGCCTTACAATCTGAGGAGGTCACTGTCCAACACGATATCCAACAAAGCTCTGTTGTTAGTCACAAAGTTCTCATTTGCCAGTTTTCACCAATAGATGGCCAGGTCCTCCTACCTAGCCTGTCCCAGTCTGGCTGGTCCACTGAAACCTATTTCCCATTGCTGAACCTGCTGTTTGAAGTACTGGTGGTATAGCTTCCAGCAACCTGTACATGGCACCATAGTATGTGAAAAACTGAACGAAAAGTGGTGGCAAATGATCTTACAAATCCTAATGATAGCCCATCCTCCTTTGTTCCAGGTTATACAATGTCTAATTTGATACCTCTCTTAACAAAAATTAGTATGCACTAATTTTAGGCAATGAACATCTTCATACCAATATAGAAATTTCTAAAGTATACTTGCTGTTTCTATTTTAATTTATATACAGCCTTTGGACCTGTGAACAATGAAGCTATGAAAACTCAGGAGGAGAGCTGATTTACTGATATTTCATACGAATCATAACTAGCTGTTTCAACTTATATACAAATTTTACCTTACCTAAAGACAGAGTTGGAAGTGGAACTCATTGACAATCCAGCAACTGCCCATATATGGCTTAAACTAGGAGATGAGGACCACAGATATTAGATCATCTTTTTGAAATCTCTGGTTTGCTTAGCAATATTTAAATAAAGTCTCTTTCAAAGAACCCACATCTTTTTCTAATTCCCAATCAGGTTCAAGTTTAAATTTAAAAATAAAATAAAGTAAAAAACAGTTTTATACACTGAGACAAAAATTCAGGACTACTATTATGTTTACATTCATATTGCACTTAGTACTTAAAGA